TATAAATCCTTTTGTAAGTATTAAAATTAGCCTGACTAACCTCGTTCTTGAGTTGATAATTCAAAAGAATTTTTACTCCCAAACGAGTTTAGTGAGGCTCATTTAAATGCATACAAAAGAATTTTAAATTGGCAGCCATTTATGAAAAGGGCCTATGACCGTGATTAGTATGGCGCCGCGCGCTTAAAATTAACTTAATCCTCTTTGAGTACTTGAGCTATCTACCGTCACAACAGTACAATTGTCACATATACACGTTTCAGCAAAAGGACAGTCATTTTACAATTCATTTGCACATCTTTTTACTGAAGCGGCTTCTTCAAATTCAGTTGATGCATACAAAACAATGCAATTTGCAGCGAAGGTTGATTCAATTCCGTCTTGCAAAACTCGTTGCCACTAAAGCCTTTGCTGCGAGTTTTAAGTGAAGGAGAAGAAAAAGAAGAGGTAACTGGAAAAGACGCGCAAATGTGCGCCTAAGTATGAAAAAGGATAGTTTTCTAAAAATATTATTACCGCTCACTGTTTGTATTGGATGTCAAACAAAGAAAGACAAAAAAGTACGAGGAAATCAATGATATAACCACGCCGCTTTGGCTAAGTGACTGAAACGCTTATCTCTCTCCCCTTGGTTTGTTATCAATCACGCCAGTTAATTTTACCGTGGTATAATGAAAACTTGAATAAGATATGTACTAACCTATATTAAATACTCAAATAATTTATTGCAAATCAAATTTTTTCAACCAATTTTAAGTCAGTTCTGCTTTTTTTGCACAGAAATGGTGAACATAAGTAAGCTTATTATGTAGCCAAGTTCAAGGTTAAATGATAATAATAATAAAAAAATTAATAAATAAACATAATATTCCCTCCGGGTTACAGTGCAAACAATGAGCGCTAGAAATATTCCTGGAATGTTTATTGTCCTCGTTCTGCGAGGTTTTCATATCCCGTTTGAAAATGTTTTTTGAAGTAATATATGGACTTTGGATAACGAAAACTCGTAATCCAATTAAAAGCATAGAAAATGGCCTTTCCGTGACAGGTTGCTGTTTCATGTGTTTATATCTGTAGAAGGGCAGTTTATGCAGAAAGGTCAGCCCTTGGGGTGTCTAATAATTGTATTTTACAAGTTTAATCATAATTTCATGTTAATTTCTAATAATTTTTTACATCACAGTGAGAATTACCATCCATGCATATGAATGGGCGTTGATTTGAAGGCTGAGAACACGAACATATGTGACACATGTGCCATATGTGCCCTTAATAAACTAACACCTTTTACGAGCGAGCTAACTACAACAAAAGATTTCAGTTGTTTTCGTTAATCCGTGGGAATATACACTCATCCAGAACACGTACCCAAATATATGTTTTTAAAGATACCTGCACTGTATGAGATAAATCAATGATAGAACGCCGATCGAGGCTTCTGATTTATCGGGAAGTTTTAATTTTAGGCGAGAAAATGACCGCGCTTTTGGTGCTACATTTTTACTCTTTCTCGGCTGAATTAATTATATAGGGTTAATGCTAACGAAAGGACGCTCAAGGTAAATCTAAATTAATTATGTTTCCTTTTTTTATGAGCTTGCTGATTTCACATGAAGATTAGTTTTGGACAATGATTTTTTTGTTTTCTGGATAGCATGCCAGCTATGTTGCAAAAATTTCCTTGCTTATAATTGATTCAAGCGGATTTTGGGTGTGACATTCAGGTTTAAAGCAGCACTCACCGCGCTGAAGTCTCATTCACCCTGGTGATTTGGAAGAGAGCAGATCGAGAACAACTAGAGCTGTAAGACCGATATCTTACTTTACGTCTACCATCATGGTAAGTGCTACACGCATTAAAGTGTTTTATTTTGTTTTTCCTCTACTGCCTGTTCTTAATTGGTGACTGATGATTGGATTCATCCAAATTTCATTCCGTAGAGTGTGATTGCAAAAGTCATGAAGATCGAGCTGACTATGACAGGTCACATCAACAAAAAGCACCATTTCAAGATTACAGGAACGGGAGAAGGCAAGCCTTTCGAGTAAGCAAAAGTTTCAAAATGTGTAATCGTTGTGGGCAGTTTTCCGGCTGCACTACTTGGAACAGTGCTTAACTCAGGAAGACGTTTTTGTTTGTTTGTTTGTTTTTCGTCTTCCTTTTTTTCCAAGGGAACGAGATTTAGTACCGAGAATTCGTCCTATCTGCGGCTATCAGCAGACACATGTGTATTGGGTCTATCTTTGTTTCTGTAATCTTATCATCTTTAAGGCGACGGACTAAAAACAGACATACCTTTTGTGGGATCAAAATTTTGAGAGGTTTAGTGTTTGGCATCTCCACGTATAGCTTATATCATAAGATTTTTTTACACTAAAGAACTTTCTTTTCCCTTAGCTTCTTCTTTCCTTACCCTTTATAAGTTAGTTTCCTGATGTAATAACAGGTCGTTAAGTTGTCTTTCCTGTCAAGGTAAGTACTGGAAACGTGTGCTGCATTTAAAAGATTGAGTAACCGTTAATTCATCGAAGAATTTCAGAACTGGTCTTCATATCAAATCAGCCAAGTAGATTCTACGGTCGTTACCTCTCAAAAATATTTCACCTGAAAAAGGTTTTGTAGTGCATATGATCAGCCCGTTTTGGTTTCCTGTTTATCTTTTAGAGGAACACAGACTATAGACCTTGTAGTCACAGAAGGCGGTCCTCTCCCTTTCGCTTTCGACATCTTGACAACAGCAACCGAGTACGGCAACAGGGCGTTCACCAAATACCCATCAGACATACCGGACTTTTTCAAGCAGTCGTTCCCTGAGGGATTTTCTTGGGAGCGAACCATGACTTTCGAAGATGGAGGCGTTTGCACCGTGACAAACAACATAACGTTAGTAAGATGTAAAGTTAATGCTTCCTACCGGGAGCCTACGTAGCATTGTGTTCCAGATTGATGAGACTTGCATAGTTCTAATTATATCCCTTTAATTTGTACCCCCTCGCCCCTTCATCTTTTTCTGTCATTTAGCTTGAGCTGTCTTCTTGCTTTGTAATAACTGAAAAATTTTATTATAAAATCGGTATACATATATACCTTCGGATTGTCAACTTTAAAGTTTAAGGCTCTTTTCCAAAGTGGTCTTCACTGTGAAGAACCATAACGCAGAAAATGTACAAAATGTTCCTGTTAAGATTGTCTTCCCTGCCATGAGGCTGTTTTTTCTTTTAAATCTTATTACTAATTATACACTGTAATTGATTTTTTATTGTATTTGTGCATGGTCTTACTCATTAAGTTTCAATTCTTTTTCATTAGAATGGATGGTAACGTTTTTAAATATGACATTAAATTTATTGGCGAGAACCTTGACACAGACGGTCCAATTATGAAGAAAAAGACGCTGAAATGGGAGCCATCCTGTGAGAGTATGTATGCTGGCAAAGGCGGAGTTCTACAGGGAGATGTTTTCAGGCATCTGTTGCTTGAAGGAGGCGGCCATTACCGATGTGATTTCAGAACTACTTACACGTAAGTTTCTATGCGTTTAAGTGATTTGATGACTCGGAAAAAAATGTTAACGGCAAAAAATTATAAAGATATTTCTGTGATAAAATGTCATGAGATATTATGATAAAAGGAAACTCGAGACTCAAATAAGACTCAAATTAATGGGATAACGAATAAAAATAAATCAAGATCAGAGTTGCCAGATAATTTTAGGAAAGACGGTAACACAATTTCTGATCCTATCGTCACGGCCAACAACTTTTAATAGCATTTTGTTAACATACGACCTAAGGTAGCGGAAAGAGTAACAATAAGCCATTAGAATTTTAAGTTTTTTTTCAGAGGGTAGTCGGGACGAGAGAAACTGATCAAAGTTAACAAATTAGGTGGCTATGATGAATTCCTTTCCATTACCCTCCGCGGATCTTGGATAAAATTCAGTATGATGAAATGCCCCAAAACGTTTTAGAGCGGGCTGGAAAATCTGTTAGCGCGTTGCCCATTTTTTTCAAACGAATGAAGCATGTCAGGAAAGCTAGCGAGCGGTAACAAACTTTACTGGAGCGCGAAGCTTAATTTTAGACTGAAAACCAGATCAGTCACTAATTGAAATGGATAGATAATGCGCCGCGTGTTGCTTGTCGTCAGTGAAAAAGCAAAAGCATGTTCATTCAATGTTTAATAAAACAATTATTAGATTTGGTTTTGTGATATTCAGAATAATCAAGGTNTTTTTTTTTTTTTTTTTTTTTTTTTTTAATTTTTTGTTTTGTTTCATTCAGTCTCTTTTGCTGCACATTTGAGAACTTCCGATTGATTGGGTGGAATCAAGCTCCACATAGTTGAGTTAAATCTTTCGAATTTTGTAGTTTCCGAGATTACGCAATTCACATTGCCTATAATTTCCTGTATTTTGGCGATTTGAAAGCTAACTTCCAAATTATGAGTATGCTGCACTCAGTCATTTTTTTTTTATTTTTTTTTCTGACGGAACTTCCCTTCACCGGCGATATGCCACATTTATTTTGCATGGACGGTAAAAAGCATTAGAAGTACAATAATAACCTTCTTACCAACCGAAATAACTTGTATAAGTTCTGTCAAACTGTCAAAAAAGCGCTTAAGATATTTGTTGAAAATCAACTTTTTTATGGACAAAACAAATACTTAATCTAATTAGTGAGATACGAATTAAAGAATGTACCTAAATGCAGTACACCGACATTTGTGATCTACATATTCAGTAAATTAATCTGCTTTCTGTATTTAATTATATATTTATTGAAATAATATTGTGGAGAATGTTAGTATGCAAAAAAATAGGGGAAAAAATGGCAAGGCAACCTCATAAAAACCACGGGGCTTGTAAAGTTAGGTTCCTTCCCAAGAAATACAAGATGACTGAAACTGTACATTATTATTGAGTAAATGACGGTATTGACAAGCCATATTTGTAGGCTTAACAGAATTAGGAATTACTGATAAAAGAGATATTTTTGCAAAGCGCGAATTAAAAGAGCTTTGAGAATCTCCTGCCTTCAAGTATTATCAGATTTTGTAAAAATAATCTTCACTGTATGCGTAAAATAGCACGCCAATAAAAAATAATTCTTAGTGATCGCTATCGGAGTGGAATTATCTACCTTAACTCCGATTGCTCGATTATGGAGACCCTTATGGGCATTAATATATTAGTGTTGAATACAACTCCAAAACTGCTAATTTGGATCTCAAAAGCCAAAGGCAATTATTGACCCAGTACAGAGTATTATCTACTAGGGAATAAAATTGTCTTTTTTCAGGTTAGTGAACTTCGGTAGCCGCAGGTAACAATCAGAACTGGGGGTTGTCACTCATAAAACAGTATTGTTTTTGTTATATGCTTATGCAGCCAACCTAGTGTAACTGATACGAGTTTGTTTGCTTGTTTGCAGAGCGAAGAAGAGGGTCGAGTTGCCAAAATTCCACTACATCGACCACCGCATTGAGATTTTAAGCCATGACAAAGAATACACCAAGGTTAAGGTGTATGAGATCGCCGAAGCTCACGAGCATCCGCTGACGAAAAACGCCTAGTAAACGATTCAGCGAAAATCCAAGACGACAACGATAAAAATAAAGGAATTTACTCAGGATTACTATATAACACTTGCACTTCAGCAATTCGTTTCGGGATTTCTTAGAGACTAGCTCTTTGGTTCACGTTTGGAAAAAAAACAAAACAAAACAAAACATAACAAAAACAAAAACAAACAAACAAACAAAAAACGGAATTGCGGAATTACATTATAAGGATAGACTTTTTACACTTATACATTTATACATGTAGCTGTAGACAAATAAAAGAAAGAAAACTAAGTGAGAATAAAGTTGTTGTCAAAGCCAGTTAGTTGAAGTTTAGTTTTGTTGTCATAGAGTCTTGGCGAGTGGAAGAGTGACGTTGGCGTTTCATGTAATTAGCAAAAAGTCAATGGTTTACCTTCCCCTTCTTCTCACTAAAAGTGCAACAGGAATGGTGGAAGATTAAAAACAGGAATCAGTCACTCCAGCCTTTTTTTAGATGCACTCAACCTCCGAATTCTTATTTTCACCTGATTCAATCTATTCATTGTTTTATCTTGTAAAAAGAAATTGGATTTGATGGAATCTTTAACTTTTCATTATTCGCAAAATCTCAATCATTTTTTGTTAAGACCGAGTAGTGTGACAAGTCTGGTATCCTCTTCTTTGTTACTTTACTTCTTTGTTGTCGCAATCATCAAAGCCTAAACGTTAAGGATTATGGCCCCGGGCTCGCTTCTGGTTACCACTGAAAAGATAAGCATCGTTTCTAAATGGCGTATTCCCTGCTTTGTGGCTCTGTGCCACTCGTGCTGGTGAAAAAAGGCTTCGAACTCCATTACGTACTGTGTATGGGTCAAAACAATCGTCACGCTTCCCCTTACACCAATGGTTAGGAAACGCGAAGCTCTGAGAGCATCAAATTTGGGCATGAGCAGTGAAAACTGAAGTCATTCAAGCGATGATGGCGGACAAGTAAATTAAAGTGCTCGGTCGTGCTACAAATAGAGAGAGAATATTTGAGATTTTAGCTTTGTTTGGTGTAAACTGTGGACAGTCAGAAGTAATTTTGTAACGGTCTTATCTTATTCAGGCTCGATTTTTTAAGGTATGTGAATTTTAAGATGGTAATTTCAGCGCAGTTTTCGAAAACTGTGGCTCGTTCTGATGATTGCCACAGTCAACGAGTCGATGAAAACGAAAGGGAACGTTACGCTCAGTGGAATCTAAGGTTTTCATCCTTGTCAATGGGGAAAGTTAATGCATATCTCAAAATGAAAGAAATTGAAAAAAAAAAACTAGAAGTAGAAGCAGTAGAAGTTGCGCATGCTGCAAACGTCTTACTTCAAAGAATTTAAGCCATTGGAGTCCAAAACAACATGCTCTTCGCAAGAATGGGTTTGCTGTTCCTTTAACAAACAACTGAATACATAGCTCCTCAGCGCGAATTACGTTTAAGTATGAAACCCAAACCTCATACGTCAGCTGGTTTGATTTTAAAATGAAGCCTGCGTGGTTTCTTTCAGCGATTTCCCCCAAACAATGAATGATATTTTACTTTTGTTATCACCTGACGTGACCGCTTCAATTGTAGTCGTCGCTTACACCTAATGGTCCATGAATGGGAAGAGATTTATTAATTAAGATGCAAGACAAGTTGTTTATCAACTATGATTCTAAAGACCATTGTGTATATAATACAGTAGTAAGTAATTACAAAACTGTTGCAAAATGAAGAGTACGACACATCAAGGACTTCTTAATGCATACCCTAAGCACATGCTTATTTAGCTGTAATTTCACAACTAATTAGAAATTCAAATTAGAATAAACAGTTCATTTATTTCCTATGCTTTGTTTTTATTTTAGCCTGGCTCCACAGATACACAGCATGTTTTTTTTTTTTTTCAACACATGTCACTCGTCTTGATGTCTTTTTGCTGGGTGCTTCAAAATTGATTCCTTCAACTCATTTTCTCTAACCAGTCAAACCATGACACATTAGAAATAAATGGATTGTGCAAAAACAACCGTGTCCAATACGAATGCAATGTGCCAATAACATATGCCGTGTTCCAAACAATCAATTTATATTATAAGCAATTATTGTATAAATTACTCGCAAAGAGATAAGGTACACACATATTGTACCACAGCTATGAGAATGACAGAGGCTTGAGCGGGAGTGAACATATGCTGAGTCTCAGGCTATGAATGTTACACCGTAGATCTGCGGTACAAGCTTTAGTAATCTAAAATTTAATTTGAGCTTTATGATCCATATTGCGGTAGTTATAATTAACTCTGATTAGAAAGAATTCTCTTATGAATCCTGGGAACCATTTATATGTAGAACAGAGTGAAATACCCCCGGGGTACTCCCAGAAAAAAAAAAAAAAAAAAAAAA